GAGCTCAAGATTTCTGTCACGTGATAGTTGATGAGGGTGCAGCCCAAGTCAACTATCACACCTGGAAATTGAGAGCGAATAATCTCATTGTTTTAGTATAAATCTACTAGTCATTCAAAACTTTATCTAAATCCTCTTCACAGACACCGTCATTTTCCTAACAATGGTACACACTGCCACGCTACTCACTATAATAGATAGTGAGTAGTGTAGCCAATCAGAGAACAAGATCACTAGTAGATTTATACTAATAAACAATTAGATTATAAGCGCGAGGTTTGTATCATGTGATAGTTGACAAGGGTGCAGCCCAAGTTAATTATCATGCATAGAAATCGAGAGTGAATGATCTAATTGTTTTAGTATAAATCTAATTGTCATTCAAAACTTTATCTAAATCCTCTTCACAGACACTTAGACAATGCCATGAAGCGGCTGTCATTTTGTTAACAAGGGCGCACTGCTACGCTACTCGCCATCTATCACAGAATAGATAGTGAGTAGTGTAGCCAATCAGAGAACAGCATTCATGATAGAACGCTAGTAGATTTATACTAATTAACAATAATGAGCTTGAGATTTCTATGAGGTGATAGCTGATAAGGCCAAATTTGTTTTATTAGAATCCTAACTGAAATTTCCTTCAAATGATGATTCCAATTATTTCTGATCTTAGTATTAAACTTCACTCTTTAGAGAATTCGCACAGACTGAATTAATTAGAGAATTCGCATGGACTGAATTAATTGTCAATTTGACATTTGCAGTTGTGTAAGTGCACTTATCATGATTAGTTTCTTTAAAAATTTCGAGCTTTTTTAATCCAAGAAACTGAAAATGCCCTCCTTTTAATTTTCTCGGGAATTTTGTTTATTCGTTCATCTCTAAATTTTCTTTCAAAACTTTGGAGAAACGAGGAAATGTTGCAATTTTGTGGACCACACCAAGCTACTGCACGCTAATTAACAATTAGACCCATAGCCCGCAAGGGTGATGGGTCAGTAGCCCATAAGGCGAAGCCGAATGGGCTATTGACCAGTGGCCCTTGAGGGCGAAGGGTCTAATAATTAGACCCTTCGTCCTCAAGGGCTACGTTTTAGTTTTATTGTTTTATTATCATCCAACTAGTTGGGCTATTGACCCGTAGCCCTTGTTTTATTATCACCCAACTAGTTGGACAGAAAAGGCAATAATAAAATTAGCAAATGCAAGTTGAAGAAATGTTTATTTGGGAATAAAACAAAAAAAAA